ACCATGAGCTGCCTACGGGGGTGATACTCCTCCCCTGTCTTCTAGGACGGCCTCCACATAGCTTTCGTCCCTACAGGCGTGTACGAAAGAACAGCAGTGTGCAGTGTAGCAGCAATAGTGAAGCTATCTAAAGGGGTACAGAGAAGTGTAGATGATACGTCACGTCGACAAAAAACGGCAAAGGAGATACCCCGATCTACAATTAATTGTACAACGACAAAATTTGACAGCGCTTACCGGAGTTTCCCGACGCACGAGAAATATCGTCAGAGTGCCAGAACCTCCTCGCCAAACCCATGACACGTTCGTCCATCTTGTCGCTCCTTTCCTTGCGAGGAGCCCAGAGGTATCTCCCCTTCTCCAAAGCTTCCTGTGGAGGTATGGCGTGGTCAGTTCTGTGCATCCGGGTACGCGCTGCACGGAACGTGCCGTCTCTCACACCGAGACCCTGTGCTCGCGCGGCAAAGGCTGACGGCACCCTGCGGCTCAGCAGGTGCGCACGGCTCATCCGGGGTGCAAGGGTCATCAGGATCGCACGTGTGCTCCGCTCCAGCAGCTGCGGCAATGACGGTGTTGTAGGCAGCGCGGCCGATGTTGCTGTGGGAGTGTAGCTTCAGCGTCTCTATAGAGGCGACCAGTGCGCGAATGTTCTCCGCATCGACAGCAGCCTTCGTCGCCGCTGCCTCTCCAAGTTCTCCGACACACAGTAACTCCCTCCTTCTTCAACACATCATCCTCTAACAGACTCTGCTTCACCCCGTCGCGGTGCCGTTCGATGGCCTGCTTGGTTACGATAAAATTTGAAGCAGTTTTGACGCGAGAGGGGGGAAATGTAAGGATGGGACTCAATAGTTTCGTGGGAAGATGGAGAGCAGGGGAAATATACCGGAAATACAGCAGTGGTGTAACCTACACGGAAATTCAAACATTTGAAAAATACGCAAGATATCACCCTATCTCTTGCCGTACACCGCTCTGAACTCACCATTCGCCGTTGTCGTGGAGGAGTCGTCGTGGGTTGTGGGCTTCTCCTCGGTCCGCTGAAAAGAAGCGCCTCAAGCGGATCGGACCGAGCGAGACGTGCATCGGCTCCTAGCCTTGGACATCGTTCGGCAGCAGCAGCAGCCACCGCAGCAGCGGCAGCAGACCTTTTGGCGGCTCCTTCCGGTTTCGTCTTGCGACGTTTAGAAGCCCGTTCTCGGAGGTCATCAACATGCTCTCGGGCCATATGTACAACGCCCTCGAGGTCATCCACCACAGAGCCTATTGCCTTAGTAGCCGCAATCTCAGTGCCCTTCTGCAGCAGCGTGGAGGTCAGCTGATAGCCCCTGGTGTGCATGCGCCATCTGTGCTTTATGACCCTCGCTTCTCCCGCAATTTTGATATCGCGCCTCAGCATGGTGGCAGCAGCCGCCACCGTCCAGGCGACGGGAAGGGAATGAGCAGTATGTCGTCGAGGTGGGGTCGGGAGACCCTGCAGTAAGTTCCTCTATGGGTAATTCGACCAAGCGGAGTCGATTGGCGGGGTGTACAAGTCGCTCCGAGTTGATCTTCCCTGTGAATTGAATCCCGCCGCATTTATTTTCGTCCGAAAGTGGCGCGAAAAAAATATATATATATTTGCACTTAGTGGGGGGGGTCGTTGCCCTTTTCGCCGCAGCTCTCTCACGCGCTTTGGTGAAGGACTCGGAAGGTTTGAGCCAGGCAGACAGATCCTTTTGCATCGATGCTGGCATCGGAGGGGACTGGTCCGCTTCTCCTGCTGCGCCCATCCCCCGACCTCGCGCAGCTGGTCGTGAAACCTCCACGACCTCATGGTCGCTGTCTTCACCGCTGCTGTCGCTCCACCGACAACGCTGCTGCCGCGGGGCGGGTGCAGGGCCAAATCTGCGCTGCTGATCCCTTTTGTTGCTTATCTCCTCCTCCTCTTCCTCCTCCTCATGGCTGTACTCTACGAGCGGCTCTTTCTGTGTGCTGGATCCCCTCATGTGTGTATGTGTGTGCTACGGTGTGCGGACTGCGAGCTGCGCTGCGAGCTGCGAGCTGCGAGCTGCGGGTGTTTTTTTCAAAAGTGCGCGGAGGGCTCCGATCGAGAGGCAACTGCTGTCCCTGAGAACGCCAAGACTTCAACGGCGCCTGAGAAGGACGCCATGATCACTAGAGAAAGGAAGTTTGTCTCCAACCAGAGCTGCAGAGAGGCGTACCATGCCAAGAAGAAGGCGGTCAAGTCTAAAGGTGTAGTGAAGAAAGGTGGAGTGAAGACGTTCAAGCACAAGGGCCCAACATGGAGTCTCCCCCTTCGATCGAGTGAAAGAGTTCCCGCGCCAAGTCTTATTTCGCTTGGACACTGGCAAACCGGGGTGCTCTCTCTCTGCAGCTACGAGGAGATAAACATCAAATGGAGCAACGTCAGGGACCACTGCAGGAGTCACAAGCACACGGTGCGGCTGGCCCTAGTGGCAACATAGAAGGCTGACGAGGTAAGATGTAGATATTTGTGTTTCGTCTGATTGATTTTTTGAAAAATTGAAATTTTCAGCGACATAGACATGTGCTTTTTAAGTATTCGTAGTTTTCGTTGTGTGTTAGCCTACAGCAGTGCCGGCCGACTCGTAAAAAACACCTATTTCAGCTGAGGCTTACATCTTATTGCCGCAGCCGTAGTGAGCTGAATTTCTTGTGTCGGCATTTCCTATTTTTCCCCGACGAGAATTGCACGATTTCTCATTTTCTCCATTTCCTGCCTTTTCGCCACCATGCAAATTGCACGATTTCTTATCATCCCTATTTCCTTTTCCAGCCACGAAACTACCCGCGGGGTACATGTTTGCACGACACCCGGCGGTACTGAACTGAAAAAAAAGAAGACGCGCAAAGTCATTGTGCCAATGTGCGTGCGGACAAAATACTCCGTATATCCCTAACGCCCTTCGAAATCGATTGGTGAAGTTATCACAACTTGGCATGCTCTATCCCGGTTGGTCAATGTTGCGACCGTTGGGGGTTCGCGCCCTACTGCCCTGCCGGCGTGGCTGTTCACCTTCACACCCCCCCGCCGGCTCATTCGAATCGTCGATCGGCTCGATCAACGCCCACGCTCCTACGGCTGCGTTCTCCTCGTCTACATCGTGTGCATCTAGAGGCATCTTCACATTGACGGTGCTTTGATCGTACGCCAAAACCACGCGGTAGTCGTACGTGTGGCTACTTAGCGGGGGAGCTGCCCGGCTGATCTGCCCCAAGAACCACCCCATACCACGCCTCAAGAACACGCAACGATTAATCAATGCGCGATCCAGATTTTCTGGAGGAGACTCTTGAAGACGGAATCCGACCGGAAGCTCCATCGCNTCCTCGTCTACATCGTGTGCATCTAGAGGCATCTTCACATTGACGGTGCTTTGATCGTACGCCAAAACCACGCGGTAGTCGTACGTGTGGCTACTTAGCGGGGGAGCTGCCCGGCTGATCTGCCCCAAGAACCACCCCATACCACGCCTCAAGAACACGCAACGATTAATCAATGCGCGATCCAGATTTTCTGGAGGAGACTCTTGAAGACGGAATCCGACCGGAAGCTCCATCGCGATGATGTCATCGTCGGAGTCGACGTCATCGTCGCTGTCTAGCTGTGACAGGGGGGCTTGAACATCGCCGTGGTCATCACCTAGCAAATGAAGCGGTGTGAAAAAATTGTCGAGAAAAAGCCGGCGTGAGACACGCGCGTTTGAACAAATCCACAGCCCCCTATCAGTGCATGCAAAACGAGGGGCAAAGGCGAAAAACAAACCGGACCTAGACTCGAAAACTTACCATCATCATCTGCGCTTGCGTCGCTGTCGCAGCTTGATTCGCCACCGCCCGCCCCCCCATCGTCGTCGCTGACTTCATCATCCTGGTCGGGCATCTCCTCGTCACTGCTCGTGCCCCCGTCCATGAAGTTGTACGCCCCAACTACACCCTCCGGAGTGATGCGGTCGTCCAACGACCCGTCTGCCGTCATCGCCAGTCCGGTCTTCTCGAACAGGCGATGGCGGTACCCAGGCCAACGGTCCATTCGCGCGACCGCCCTTGCAATGAATCGCGTGAAAAGGATTCGCCTTGCACCAGCTGAAAGCTTGTTGGTCTCCCACAGGCAAAGGTTTTCCTCGTGCCCAAGAAATTCATCCAGCTCGTTACCGACTTCGACTTTGAGGAGGCGTCCATAGCCGGCATCGACCGGTTGGAGTTCNCATCGCCAGTCCGGTCTTCTCGAACAGGCGATGGCGGTACCCAGGCCAACGGTCCATTCGCGCGACCGCCCTTGCAATGAATCGCGTGAAAAGGATTCGCCTTGCACCAGCTGAAAGCTTGTTGGTCTCCCACAGGCAAAGGTTTTCCTCGCGCCCAAGAAATTCTACCAGCTCGTTACCGACTTCGGCTTTGAGGAGGCGTCCATAGCCGGCATCGACCGGTTAGAGTTCGTCGGCCAACTTGGGGGGAAGTAGCCGCAGCAGCGTGTTGCACTCGCCGTGAAGGAATTTATTGAACTCGTCCGTTGTCTGCGCGTGCAGGTTGTCCGCGAAAAGGATGGACTGCTCCTCTGGATCGACACCTTCCTCCCCTTTGATGCTGCGTAGGAAGCTGTTTTTTGCCCACGCCATGCACGTTGGGCGGTCCATCCAGCGTTCTCCTGGAAGAGCACGTCCACGCCGGGGTCTTACGCCGCCTTCTCCACCGCCGAGACTTTGCCTTTGCCGCGGAAAATGACCGCGGTCCGCATCAACTTGTCGCCAGCTCCGATGCAACAGTTGACGGTGCACTGTCGCTTCTCAAGACCAGGGAACGGCTGCCCAATTTGCACTCGCAAAGCTCCCGTCTCGTCCCATGTCGAGTCAAGGCCGTTGACGAATGCGAGCCCAACCTGGTCGACGTTGAAACGCGCATTCAGGCTGAAGCGCCCG